GTGTGCCTATAAATTATCCTAACTTCCAGAATAAGTTGTCCAGCTCCTCTGGCAGGAAGGGTTGAATACCTACTTGGGTAACTGAAAAGTAATAGGAGGCCATTAAGTGGACACTCTTCAGAATATACAGTGCTCATGTCAATTTAATTATGTGGAGCCTATATGGAGGGTCATGGAATAGAAAGGGGAATTTCTGGGCACCTGATATTTGCCTTTTGTACACCAAAGTATATAATATTTACCTCCTAGAGTGCATCTCTTGCCTTAGCAACTTTGTAGTAGGCTTATGGAGGGCAAGGATGGGCTATTCTTTGAGTTCCTAATACTTTGCACAATACTATTTAACACACATTGGTCCTGAGCTTTGGCTCCCTTTACCACCAGCAACCTCCTCCCTATATTTTTTTCATTATCAAAGAGGTCCACATGTTTATAGCTGCTGAATGAATGATATGTCCCAAAGATAGTTGTCTGTTTTGATTGATGGACTGTTTTGTTGACCTTAGAAAATAAATAGAAGAAAATGGTCTTTTCTGAGTTCCACTTTCTCCAAAGCGTGTGCAATATATATATATATTTTTATTATGTTGGAAGATGAGATTGCCACTCAGCACAGATTACTGGAGTCATTCCCTACTAGGGTGGTGAAATTCAAAAATTTTGGCAAGGGAAGTCATATCAATTGTCTGTTTACCTAGTCATATGACTACAAAAACCAAACTGGATTTATTGATTTTCCCAAGTTACTTCGAAGCAAATAGTAAACAGAACTGAACAGACTCACAAAGCCCTTGTACAGAACTCTGAAGACAGTGTTAGGAGGTGATCCCTGCTCTCCCTCTGCTGCCACTTTTAACTGCAGTCACTCTAACTTTCATCTGTGAGCTCCAATATATCCCCTGTAGAACCAGCCCTGACCAAGGCAAATCTGTATATCCTCAGCCTTGACCAGATTATGAGTAATAATAGCCCAAATTTCTGGTATTCTAGGGTGAGTTCAGGCCATACAAATGTTCCCCAAGGCAGTTTTTTTTTTCTTGTGACCTAGATTCCATGCTAGTATCTGTAGTTCTGCCTGGTTTCCAGCTTTATGTTGTAGACCTTCACGACCTAGGGACCTGCCTTGGTCTGGATTCAGTTGAGTTGCCTATTTCTAGACCCATTCTCCTGGTCTGTACTACTAACAAGGATTTGTACTGAGAAGTCTTTGACTGTTGTCCTGTCTGGAATAACTGGTTGTAGTATCTTAGCTGGCAGATTTGTACCTCTCAAATTATGCTCATGCTCCCCAAGCTCCTTGGGTGTGCATATTGGATTGTTGGTCATCCTCTTTGGAGGCCTATTCTCCAGCCAGCACAGTACCCCTGTTTTAATCTTGCCTTATTCGGCTCCCATCCTCTCGTACTAGCAGATGCCATCAGAATCTGTGTGACTCTTGAATGAATGAGTTCATCCATTCATTCATCTATTTACTCAATAGTCAGTTGTCTACAGAGGAACTACTGTGTGCAGGAATTGTGCCATGTATTGGATTGTCATGGTGAATAAGACACCATTTTTGTTTTTCCTCAAGAAGCACATGGGCTATACCTCATGAGAGATGATTGCTCTTTCCAGGGTCTAAGGTGTCTTTATTCCAAGTCTCTAGTTTCTGAACTTGTAACCTACTTCTGTATGGCAGCAGAAGGTCCACTTTCTTTTGAGACATCGGAAGTCATGAAATGTTAAGAGTAATACTGATGCTTACTGGGTTCTCTCTTCCTGAAACAATGAGCAAGTCTGTGGCTGACCAGGCTTCAGCATTTTTTCAGCCTACATTTTCAGTTTGTATCCTATCCTATCCTATCCTATCCTATCCTATCCTATCCTATCCTATCCTATCCTATCCTATTTCCAGCTTGTATTCTAAGAAGAATACAAGCTATCATAGATTCAAAAGGAAGCACACCTCTTAATCAGGGAAAAATAGCATAGCCTGTTTATAACCTATAGGACATGGGAAGCAAATCTTGTAAAGAGACAGGTCTTTAGATTTTTATTTGGCAAGGAAAGAAAATGTCAATAAGCTAATAAGTAGCTGACATTTTTTGACAGACTACTATGTAATCAAGCTCTCTATATTGTACCACGAATCTTTACAACCATGTAAGACTGGTTCTGAGACAAGTTCAGGTTAACTTGCTCAAGATCACCCTAAAAAGTGGAAGGGTTAGGATATGAAATTAGGATTTTAGACTCAGTACCCTATATTCTTAATTCTTCCATATGCTATAACTATAGAGAAGTTGTTCTTGTTTTGATGCCACTGGGCTGAATTTATTGCATTTTTTAATTCATTCAAAAAGAACAGTGACTTGACACGGGCCATATAAATTTAATTGACCTTGTTGCTGTTTGTAACAAGGCTGTTTTCCTCTAAATTGGTGGTAGGGGGGAGGAGATGAGGTTCTCCATTGAGTTAGCATTGATTTTAGACCCTTATGTCTAAGTTTAGAACTCTTTCTTTTACTCAAAGATGGTGATTCTTCAACCTGGAAACTGATGCAAGTCAAATTCTGATCATAGTTAACAGGGAGAAGCATCAGTTGGACCTTTTAGTAACAATCAGGGTGATCAAGTGTATGGCGGGTAATCCTAGAAGAGCAATTGCTCACTGAGAAATGGTGCCAAATTAGAAGTGGATACACAGTGAGAAGTAAAGTAGAAAGAGTCATGTTCCCTGGGTGTGGCCATGAGCAAACTGCTCATAGACACACTGAGTCCTTGTGCAGACTGAATTTTCTTGAGTTGATGATCTCTTCCCATTTCTTCATCTGTAATTATTATTTTTCAAATCACCACTTGGGTTTTATCTCTTCCATGAAATCATTGTGACTCTTCCTGGCTTCCCTCCTCCTTCCCTGCTCTGAAATCCTATAGCATTTATACCTGACTCACACAATCTTCTTCTTTATTACATATTTCTAAATAGGCTTGTTGGATTCATTTACTCAGCTGATTTTTAAGCTCCTGATAGATAGCAACTTTATATAAAATGTAAATGGAGCCCTGGAAATACTTGTTGAATGATTCCCTGATTTTTGTATACTTTGCTTGGGAAATTATAGCATTTGAAGGTATTTATCTAAAAGAGGACAATCTTTCATGAAAAGTTATTTAAGGTTCTAAAATCTGCTTGCTTTGTTCTGAGGACAAACTTATTTTTGATATTTCCCTTAAAGCAACACCGTATAATGACTTTCTTAAGCTACTGGTAGAGGTCAGGGAAGAAAAGAGAAGCTGGTAGAGATGGGATGTATTTAAATATGCTGGAGAGAGAGGACTTTGGATTTTTGACCAGTTTCTATAGTCAAGGAGCTCCACAAAGTTTGCCATTTGTATAGGAATCTTTTAATTCTTGGATGGTAAAAACTCTCTTTCCTGTAAAACTTCATGGAATTTCTGCTCCTGGCATGGGTATTAGTTATTCACTGTGGGTCTTGAAAACCTGTGACACAGTTGTCCAAATGGGCACCAAATAAAGCGAGAAAAGTCTTAACTACATATTTTAAAATTATTTTGGTTTCCAGGTGATGGACTGCCCGGTTGTGACTGGCACTGACAAGACTAACCCTTTACTCAGACCCAAGGGATCATTTTGATCTAAAAACCTTGTCCTCCAAACTAGCTGCCCAAGAAACAAATGCAAGTCCAATACTTTACTTCATAATCTGGATGGCTGCACATTCCACCTGCATCTCTATTTTGCCCAGTGGTGGCTTCAGTCTTTTTAATTTGCCCTTTTGTGGGGGAACTTTTTGGGGAATGGATTTTATGTTTGAATCCCATGATGATTTTGGCCATCTTGTCTACCTCCTTTCAATCACCTGGCCTGGGCTGAGTGATGAACATGTACTCCTAGGGATACATCTTGTCTCAGAAGAGTCCTTATGTTGTAACAGGACTCTGAAGTAAGAAGTCAATTTTTTGGGAAGAATCTCCAGTTAGTTCAATACTTTTGACTAAGCTTCCATGATAATAACAGCTAACATTTATTGAGTGTTTACTAACTACCTGCCAGGCCTTTTCCCAAGCACTTTAATTTTTTTTTTTTTTTAAGAGGCATGTTTTATTTATTTATTTTGTTTGTTTGTTTTTTGTTTATACATGCACTGGGTACAGTCAGAAGCGTGGGAGGGTGAGAGAATTCACCAGAGCCAGAGCAAGGAGCAGAGCAGGCAGAAAGACCGAAGTACACTGCTGAGGGGAGCAGCGGGCGGCAGGAGAGGTCTGCGCGCCATGTGGGACCCTCCTCCAGTGGCCGGGGAGCAGCCGGGGATCGAACTGGCGCCGCAGAGGCCGTGGGCAGCTTCGCAACCCAACGCTCAACCGCTGCGCCACCGGGGAGGCCCTCCCAAGCACTTTATATAAACTGTTTCATTTAATATTTACAATACTGCTAAGAGATACAAATTATTATTCTGAATTTACTGATTAGGTAATTGCAGCAGAAAGGTCACAGAACTAGTTGATAGCAAGACTGATTTCTGATTTCTCCTCTCCACCCTAAATCTCCTCCTAGAAGACTTTCCTTACACTTTATATTTCCTTTCAATTACTGCCCCATTTTTCTGCTTATCTTTAGAGAAAGTACTCTCTGCACCTCACTCCTCAGATGAGTCTTCTATATTTGCTTTCCAGTTCCTTTCTGTGCATTTCCTTCTAAACTCAGTCCATGCAGGCATCCATCCTCATTACTGCACAGACACTGGTCCTGTCTCACCATGTGGTCATGCTGGTATATTCAGGTCTCACCCTCAGTAACAAAAATGGGGAACCTAGAGAAGATTGTCACAGACATTGCTGATGCACACTAAGGCATGGCACATCACTTATCTATCCGGTGGCTGGCTTAGCAGTAAAGGATCAAAGAGCAATGAATAGAACACAGAATCAGAGAACTTTCCAGGGAGATGACAATGACAATGACAACTTCAGTAAGGGGAAAGGTGATGACTTACACAGTGTGTGGTGGTGATGATGACAGAACTGGAGATGAAAGACAGGCCATCATTCATGCTGACCTGGAGTGCAGCCTTCCTGCAAAGACAAGGGAACCAGAAAAACTCAGCATGGCCTGTAAGGAGCAAGGGGCTGAGAATCCCTTATAATAGATGCCCTACAGGCTCTGCTCAGAACTACCCTTGGGGGCTTAAGCTATGTCCTTTGTAAACTATGGAGGGTGGTCTCTGGGGCCTCTCCACCCTAATATTCTAGAGACATGTCAGGATAATGCTTGCCTGGTGTATTAAAGCAGTATGTTCAGTCCTTCTTCATAACAGCCAGTTACAATGAGTGGGCAGAGCCTGCTTTTATTTAATTTACTTGCCACATTATAACAAGAGGAAGCATTCTTTAGAAATACTCTAAGTCAATGGTGATAAAATAAACTTAAAGCTCTGTTGTTGTTATCTGGAATCTTGGAGATCTGATGTGGGTGCTTTGTTACTATTTATCAAACACAGAGGTACAGGAGTATATGAATAAATTTGCCTTCTACCATCTCCCATCTATATGAGACTCACTGAAACACAAGCTTGGATTTTAGAACATGGGCACATGCTTGTTTGTGGACTCAGTGGTCCAGGCTGATGCTAAGCAATCAGAGTTGGAGGCTTTACAATCTGAACAAATGATTAAAATTAGAATTCTGATGAACAAGTTTAACATTTTTTTCTTAAAGCCACCATTCTATCTTCAGCCTTTATAAACAGGTTTACAAAGAGGCCAGCATTTGTTTCTTCCAAAAGGTGCTTCTCTTTCCCCATATATTTCTTTTCTTGTTCAGGAAATGTTTTAATTACACTTCACTAGCATTTATTGTAACTATACCATCTGGGATCCCCTGCAAAACTTAGTTCAGGGAAACTTGTGGCTCTCAGTGTTACCCAATGCTCTGCAGAGGCCCAAAGAAAGGAGCACTGAGAGTGGCCTTAGATAGCCTGAGTCTGGGGTCTTGAATTGCCTTGAACAAAATGTGGACTCACTTAGCCTTTCTGAGCTTCCTTGTCTCTGAGGTTGAGATAATCATCTAGAAGGACAATTGTGATGACAGGGCAAGGTAATTTGTGTGAGGATGCTTTGGGAAGTATTAGAGCTTTCTTGAAATGTGGTTGTGATTAAGCCAGAAAGACCTTGGTTTGAGCCCAGACTCTGCTGTGTGGTCTTGGGTAAGCTACTCACATTCTCTCAGCCATACATTCCACGTCTGTGAAATTGGAATAATATGCCTGAGTATCTGATCCATTAGTAACATGGGAAGATAAAGTGAGATATCCATGTTTAGCCTGATATCTGGCTCACTCTAAGTATCAGCACCATTATTATTCCCTAATGAGTCTAGAGAAAGGCTCTGTTATGACAGGGAAAAAAGATATTTCCTTTTCTCCTTACTTCATCTATTGCCTATCTCCTTCATGGCTCTGAGGGTCAGTTGAGGATGGAAACTTACATGCCAACTTCTTTTAAGATAGGTGCTGGACACAGCAAATAAGTGTCTTCCACAGTGAAGGGCTTCTCATCTGTAAAAGGAAAGTCAGAGGATGAAAAGTGAGGCAAGTTTATAATTTCAAAATTTGATTCCTAGAACTAATCAGCCAAGTTCTGGGCGAATATCTAATAGCAATAACTCTTTGAAATTAACTTCTTATGAGTGCAAAATTCGCTAGTGTGTACTCAAGGTGTCCTACCCAAATACTAGTCACTGACCATATATGTCCAGTTGAGTCAGTCAATGTGCAAACAGATATATCCAACTCTTATCATAGACTAGACATAACTGAGAGGAAAACAATATTATAACTAGGGTGGTCTTCAGAGAGCTTCAGGTCTGTGTCTAGTTTGGAAGAAAAACTATATTTTTGTAAAAAGTTATCAGTATTACTCTCATAATAGCAAAGATATAGATATAAACTAAGTGTCTATCATGGATGAATGGATAAAGAAAATGTGGTATATAAAGTCTTGCATTATTTAACAACAGTCAATTTTGGGCTGCATAAATGATGGTGGCCCAAATAGACTACACAGTATAACCTAGATGTGTAGTAGATTATACCATCTAGGCTTGTATAATTACACTTTTAGATTTGCACAAAAAATAAATCACATAAAGATGCATTTCTCAGAATGTATACATGTGTGCATGATTGTATTTTTACAATGGAATATTATCCAGCCATAAAAAAGAAATCTTGCCATTTGTGACAACATTGATGAATTTTGAGGATAGTATGCCAAATAAAATAAGTCAGATCTCACATGTGGCATTTTAAAAAAGAAATCATAGCTACAGAGACCAGATTGGTGGTTCAGAGGTAGAAGTAGGGAGTGAGCAAAATGGGTAAAAATAACTAAAAGATACAAACTTCCAGTTATAGAATAAATAATTCCTGGGTCTGTAATTTATAATATGGTGAGTATAGTTAATACAATATTATATATTTGAAAGTTGCTGAGAGAACAGTTCTTAAGCATACTTATCACACACAAAAAAGTTGTCACTTTGTGGTGATGGAAGTTTGTGAAACTTACTGTGGTGATCACCTTCAAATATATACAAGTATTGAATCATTATGTTGTGTACCTAAGATGAACAGAATGTCAATTATATCTCAGCTTAATAAAAAGGAAAGAGAAGGTTCACTGACCAATATGAGAAGTTGCTAGCCAGAAATATCATTTGGTTTCAGACAACAGGTAGTTCTTTTATGTAGGTGAGATGGTGAAGACACAGGGACACAAAATTTGAGTTGTGCTCTGGTAGGAAGATGGGGAAGAGCATTCCCAGTGGGAGGAGGAAGCAAAGATAAGCAAATAAGAATCATGTTCCAGGGCAGGATGTAAGTGGGATCTGAAAGATCAGTGTAGGAAGAAGTTTGGTCCAAGTTCTGAGTTAGACTGAGGGATGTGGACCTACAGCAGAATCTTGAAAAATGTTTCACATTGATGAGAAAAAAAAAATCTAGGTCAACATTAATGTTGACCAAAACAAAGTTATTTGAGGATCAGTTTTCTTTACATGCTGCTTTCTTAAAGTCATAGTTTTCAAAAACCTATCCAACATTTTAAGTGCAGACTTATTATAATTCTATTAGCTATGAAGAGAACTTTGTAAATTTTTGTAGGAAAACTTACAGTGATGATTTTGGAAGCTTTAGCACATGTTGTGAAAAATAGATTAGGAGAGGGAATTCTGGAGGTGTAAGCTTTTGCTCTTATCCTAGTGGATGACCAGGAAAAGTGACCAGCTTCAAGCTCCAATGTTTTAAAAACTTCGTTGTGTCCCAGATCCTGGGGTCAGGAGCAGAGGTGAGCATTTACTATTTTCAGAATATAGTAGTCATTCCTTCATATATATGTAGCATATGAATATTGGAATATATACTATTGGGTTTGTGTTCTGTACAAAAGACAGTGGGAGGACCTGTAGGTGACTTGAAGATGAATAATAGTAGTCCTTTTAATCAAGTTGTGAATACAAACACCTATACTAGAAGGTAGAAAGGAATGAACATCTAATTGAAGGAAGATATTCTGCTGTTGGCACTTGTTGTGAAACTGATATATCTAATGCCATTTGCAAGTCAAGTCCTCAGTTCTGCAGCTGACACTAAACAGTTGCTTGAATGGAGATTAGAGAGCCTTGTTCCCTCCATAACTGGACTCAAGGAGAAGAGCCACCTGGCATGGGAGTTACAGGACACATGTGAGCACTAAGTACTGAGTTCCCATGGAAGGAGAAAGAAGAAATACTCAATTAGTCTCACCACCTTCAAGTGGTGAAAAGTGAGGGAGGTTATTCCAAGTCACTTGGTCATTCATGTATTCATTCAACAAATATTTACTGAAGGTCCACTAGGTGCTAAAGACAGGCTTTGAGAAGAAAAACACGGTCTCTACCTCTATGGATTTTATAGGAGGTAGTTATTAAACAGGTTCATTTTTACTAAAATATGGTTTTTTTGAATGTCTACTGTGTGCCAGGCATTGCGTTAGATCTTGCAATGAATGAAACAGATGAAGCTTGCTTAAGGAGATGGCATATTATCAATATTATTTTTAATTAATTTTTGACTATAAATGTGAGCACAGAAAAGGAGAAGGAGAGGGGACAACTCTGGTCTGGAAATGCTTTCCTGAAGAAAGGCTGTTGAAGCTAAACCCAAAGGTAGAGTAAAGAGCAGATGAAGGTGGAGAGAGGTGGCACTGCAAAGATCCTGGGGCAGGAAGGAACGCAGATATTTTGTGCTACCAGCAAAGATATCATACCCTTCATTTTAAAGGTGGGGATCAGATGTAGAGTGATGAAGAAACCTGCCCCATGTTACACAGAGGAGCTGAATGCACACCCAGGAGGTTCAGGACAAGAACAGAATCCTCTGTTCTTCTTTCCTTGCCCAATCTTTCCATTTCAGTAAGGCTTGTATTAGAGAGTAAACCAAACTCAGGGCAGGTGTGGCTGACAGGATTTAGACTTATTTTCTCATGGCCATGGCTTATCTTGCTGTACGGGCACTGATGACACTTGGGAGTGGTGACCCCTGTCTGTGGAGTCTGCTCTCAGAGCCCATGGCTCAGCCACAGAGCAGTCATATGAGGCCCGTCACTCCTGGCTGCATTCTGTGGGAAGAGCTGGGTTGCACTGGGGAGGACGTCCCAGTTAGCTCACTGCCGGGAGATTCCAGAGGCTGGCACGCTCGCATGCCTGTTTAGGGTCCACCCTCACTTCTGGGCTTTCTCTGAACGACTTTCTTCTTCTCCCATCCCAACTGGAAAGAGTAAGACTGGCCTAAATCAAGCAGACATTTCTCACTTTCCCCTTTCTATCATTCTCCTTTCCTGCCTGGGAGGCTAAATATCTCTGCAGCAAAGCAGAGGAAAGCCTTGCTGGGTAGACTCAGGAAACTTTGTCTTCCATCAGTTTATCAGCCTCTGAGGCTGCAGGCCTGCTGTGCAGAGCTGGCATTTTCTGCTCTGAAAGGGATTGCTTGGTTTGGAGCCTGTTTTCACTTTACCACAAAAATGAGTGACTTTTTTTTCCTCTCTTTCTCTAAACAAAGAAGGGCCATTTGGTTTCCATAACTCAGATCATATGACTCCTTCCTGGAACGTCCACTTGGGAAGCAGGGCACAAAGCCTTCCTCGTCGGCTCCTCAACTGGGCCCTGTTTGGCCTGAGGACTGTGCCAACCTCACTGCCCCTTTGCCAAGGTCTGTGGTGTTGTGACGTTTATGGGGCCATAATCCACCCTGAGGATGACCGAGGCCCCTGGGTCCCTTTGTCCACTAGGCAGCCATTTCACTGCTCATTAGCATTGAGTGGGCAGGGGAAATAGAGAACAGGAATTAAGAGCAGCCACTGGCTTCTTTGCAACTGGGAAGGAAATTTGGGAGGGGCAGGAGTTTGAAACCAGAAATTAAGGGAGATTTTAGATGAACTGTAAATGTAAATTTCCTTGCTTTTTACCAAAGATATTTTAGAATTTGGTGCACATCCTTGATATAGGTAAACCTAAAGCTTTTGTCTTCAAGAGCCTGATAATCAGAAACTGGATCTAAATCAGGATTTGGGATTAATGATTGTCAGTAAGTCAAACTGCCAAAAGTACTCGAGGCTTGAAAGCTGGGCTTCCCTGAGGCTGACTACTGAGTACACAGAGGAGCAGGGTAAACTTCAGAGTCAAATAGATCCAGGGAGCTAGCCCACATAGGGCACAGCAGACCTCTTCTGTCTTGCCTGCTGCTCCCCTTAGCAGTGTATTTCAGTAGATCTGCCTGTTCTGCTTCCCACTCTGTCTCTGGTGAATCCTCTTGTCCTCTCCCTCTCCCTGCTGCTCTCTGGCCTACACCCCAGTCTGTCTATGAATAAATAAATAAATAAATCTTAAAAAAAAAAAAGAAGAATAGCACAGCACTTGGCACTTTACAAAGCATTCAGCAAATATTATTCCACATTATTACAAGGGCATTCACATCTTCAAAATAGACTATGTGAATGGGTAGTTTAAAAGCAGAAGAATTGAAGGCTAAATTTTTAATTGCTTAACTTAATGGTTCTAACCAACTAGTACCTTTTTAGACATTAAGGATTGTCTAGGAAAAATGAAAAGTGTATGAAGATAAATATTTTTTTTTTAAAGATATATTTATTTATACAAGCACTGGGTACAGTCAGAAGCGCGTGAGGGTGAGCGAATTCACCAGAGCCAGAGCGGAGAGCAGAACAGGCAGACTGATGAACTAGACTGCTGAGGGGAGCAGCGGGCAGCAGGAAAGGTCTGCGTACCATGTGGGACCCTCGCCCAGCAGCCAGGGATCGAACTGGCGCTGTAGAGGCTGCAGGCAGCTTCACAACCCAGTGCTCAACCGCTGCGCCACCGGGGAGGCCCAGGATAAAGATGTTTTGTGTATAAAACCTTAGGAAACTGAGGCTTAGAAAGGTTAGTTAATTGAGTTATTGTTGCACCATTAGTAAATGCCAGAGCTGGAATTCAGGCCCAGGTTTTGTTGAAATGACTCAC